CCCAGGTAAAGATTCCCACCTTCCCTTAGACACCTTTGCCCAGGTAAGGATCCCCTCTGCCCTCAGACACCTTTCCCAGATAAGGATTTCCCACCTTCCCTCAGACACCTTTGCCAGGTAAAGATTTCCACCTTCCCTCAGACACCTTTGCCAGGTAAGGATCCCCCCTTCCCTCAGACACCTCAGATTGCATCCCTGATCCACCTCTGTGCTGTCCAGAAGCTACAGAGACTGGAGGTTGTTTTTTTTGGTGGTATCTTTCTGGAACCCCAGAGCTGTGTCTCAGTTTGCAGGAATGGGGTTGCGTTCCAGCCCTGCTCCTCCTGGAAGTGATTTTATGGTCACTGATGTGACCCTTCTGGTGGATCCACTGTTGTGTTTGAACAAATGTGTCACAGTAACGTGGCCTTGAAAGATGTTTGTAGTGGCTTTGGAACTGTGGAATACCCTGAGCTGGAAGGGACCCACAGGGATCATTCATCCAACCTTGTCCTGAGATCCAACCTGACCCTGCCCTGGCACAGCTCCAGCCCTTCCCTGGGTGCTGTCCCTGCTCACAGAGGAAAGAAATCAGTTTTTAACAGTGCTCTTGCGTTCTCTGGCCTGAGAACCTGGAGCTCCATCCACATCCCAGCTCTGCAGGGGCACGAAGGACTTACCTACCTCACAAAAGAATCTTTTTTATGAAACAATTCTAGGAATAAATTCAGTGTGTGTTTATCCAAATTTCCTTTGCCAGCGGACAGACCCCATGCTGAAGGCTCCCCCGGCCTCTAGAGCACAGTTTGGGGGAGAATAATCAAAGGGAGGGGCCTGACAGAGCTGAAACACATTTTTTGGGGGTTCTTTTTGAGCCAGCAGAGCCCTTCGGGTGTTGCATCCCGGGTGCTCTGAGGCTATTTGCCCACCTGGGGGCCTCCGAGGAGCACCGACAGCACTCCACAGGCTTGGAAACTCCACCTGCACTTCCATCCTCTGGAAACATTCCTGAATATTGGCTGGTACCGTTTTCTGGGGTTTGCAACAAAGCAGTTTTTGCTTTTTGTGCTGTTTCGGATTTAATTGGGCAGGGTTAGTGTTAAATGATATTTCCTTGGCAGTGAAATCCCTTCCTTTTAGAGCTCCACTCTGGGTTTTTCCCTCCTTCCCCCAACTCTGCTGACTCAGCCACGTTCCTGGAGAGCAAATTCTTTTCTGCCTTGAAATATGAACATTATATTTTAAAAGAAACTCGTCCATGAAGGAATTATTTCCCCTCCCTTCACAAAACTGCTTCATTTTACCACGTGTAAGACCCTGACAAAAGGCATCATTTTTTTTTTGCACTGGGATCAGTTTAACGTGTTCCTGCTTGATTTTCACCCCACTGGGAATCAAGTGGGAAGTTAAAACTCCTCATTCTGGGATCTCTGAGCAGCTGCTGGTGGTGGTGGTGCTTTTTGGCAGGTTCTGGGGTGACCAGGGCGGGGACTGAGCTGTCACTTTGTGGAGAGCTCAGGTTTTCTGAGGGAAATGCCACTTCCCTCTTGCTTTAGGCCTTTCTGCCAACATTTCTGCCACGTTCTCCTGCACTGCCCAAAAGTGAGTAAGAGGCAGAAAGGACCTGATGGAACATTTTCATCCCATGGAGGGATCATTCCAAAGGGACTTGCTGAGCTGGGTGCACACCTGGGTTTCCTGGGCTGAGCTGTTGCAATATTTCTGCTTCTTGCCTGTCCTGTAGCTTGAATTCTCACAGTTGTGGTTTGGGCAGGACTTTGGCACTAGAGAACTGCACTGTTACGATCTGGATGTAGAAAAACCTGTGTTTGCAGCTTTCTTTGGTCGAATCCTTCGAGTGACTCGACAAACCCCAAGTTCTGTGTTGCTGAGGCAGAGCAGAGCAGCCTCCTGCTGCCTCAGCTTTGCTGCTCTGCTGATTTTTCTCTTTTTCCCTCGCTGGGAAAAGGAGAGGAGGGGGAATAATCGACATCTGAGCTGCTGGGGGAGGGCAGAGCATCATCCAGAATTCCCAGTTCTTGCCTGAATTAAAATATCCAGGAAGAGAACAGCTCTAGGAGCAGGGATGGGGTTCCCACACACCCATGACATGGATGCTCTGAGGTGTCTGCTGGAAGTTTCCAGGGAAACCCCTGGAAAACCCCTCCTGCTTTCCCAGTCTCCCTCTCCCAATCCCAACCCAAACTCGGGGCCTGCTGGCAAAACATCATCCAGAATTCCCAGATCTTGTCTGCATTAAAATATCCAGGAAGAGAACGGCTCCAGGAGCAGGGATGGGGTTCCCAGATGTTCCCATATGCTCTGAGGTGTCTGCTGGAAGTTTCCAGGGAAACCCCTGGAAAACACCTCCTGCTTTCCCAGTCTCCCTCTCCCAATCCCAACCCAAACCAAAGGTCTGTTTGCGGAACAGCTGGAAACACCTCCAGAATTCCCAGTCCTCACATGGATTAAACTCTCCAGGATTAAAGGAGCTCCAGGAGCAGGGATGGGGTTCCCACACACCTATGACATGGATGCTCTGAGGTGTCTGCTGGAAGTTTCCAGTGAAACCCCTGGAAAACACCCACCTGGTGAATGAGCAGCGTGAAGAAAAGGGGTTCACAGTGAGGGGGGTTGTGTTTCTCCAGGGCTTTCAGCTGACCCCATCCCCTGGTTTGTGTCTGTGTTGCAGGAAGCTCCGAGCCACGCTGGATGAGTACACCACCAGGGTGGGGCAGCAGGCCATCGTGCTCTGCATCTCACCCTCCAAACCCAACCCTGTCTTCAAAGTGTTCGGGGCCGCGCCCTTGGAGAACGTGGTAGGTGTCTCCAGGGAAGTGAGGTGACGACTTCCTCGCCTTCTCTGCGGGTTTTGTTCTGCTCGGGGCAGCCTTGCAAGCCTGGGAGTCGTGTTTAAAACCCTGGGAACAGGGGTTTAGGTTTTAGGGGCAGTGGTGGACCTGGCAGTGTCAGGTTGTGGTTGGGCTCGGTGATCTCAGAGGCCTTTTCCAATCTCAGCGGTTCTGGGACATGAGGACACGCTGAGGTCCTCCCTTCTCTGCGTGAGTGGTGGCCTGGCACATCTCACCAGCTGAACATCCTGGAGCAAAGAGGAGAGGGAGCAGGTAGTGATCACACAATCCCAGAATCCCTGAGGTTGGAAAAGCCCTCCCAGCCCATGGATCCCCCCTGGGCCCCATCCCCACCTTGTCCCCCAGCCCAGAGCACTGAGTGCCACGGCCAGGCCTTCCTGGGACACCTCCAGGGATGGGCACTCCAAACCTCCCTGGGCAGCCCCTGCCAAGGCCTCACCACCCTTTCCACCAACAAATTCCTCCTCAGCCCCAACCTGACCCTCCCCTGGCCCAGCTTGAGGCCGTTTCCCCTTGGCCTGTCCCTTGTTCCCTGGCAGCAGAGCCCGACCCCCCCGGCTCCCCCCTCCTGTCAGGGACTTGCAGAGCCAGGAGGTCCCCCCTGAGCCTCCTTTGCTCCAGGATGAACAACCCCAAACCATGAACTGTCTGAACTCAGCTCTGCTGTCAGTTCTTGGCCCTTGTTGCAGGCCAGACCTAAAACGGAGCAGACCCTGAGCACATCGTCTTGCCTCAGAACTTTCCCTTTCACCCCCTAAACCCTTCCCTTGCCGGTGTTTCTCCCTGTTTCATCAGCAGCCCTTCCATTCGCCCGAGCCTCGGGTGCCCGTGGGTATTCCCTGCCAGCTGTGACACCTCAGTGTCCCTGCCCTCTCCTGGTGCTCTTCACATTGTTTACCTGGGCTTAACAACCCCCACAGGTCCGCAAGTACAAGAGCACCATCCTGGAGGACCTGGAGTCGGCGCTGGCGGAACACGCGCCGGCCCCTCAGGAGGTCAACTCGGAGCTGCCCCCCCTGACCATCGACGGCATCCCCGTGTCCGTGGACAAGATGACCCAGGTGAGCACCCACAGGCACACCAAGAGGGACACAGAGAATCACAGAATCAGCTGGGTTGGAAGGGACCTCCAAGATCATCAAGTCCAACCCTTGATCCAACCCCGCTGTGGTTCCCAGCCCATGGCACTGATGCCATATCCAGTCTCTTTTTAAATATCTCCAGGGACAGAGAATCCACCCCTTCCCTGGGCAGCCCATTCCAATGGCTGAGCACCCTCTCTGGAAAGAAATTCTTCCTAATATCCAACCTAAACCTCCCCTGGCACAACTTGAGACCGAGCCCTCTTGTCTTGCTGAGAGTTGCCTGGGAGAAGAGACCAACCCCCCCCGGCTCCCCCCTCCTGTCAGGGAGTTGCAGAGAGTGAGGAGGTCTCCCCTGAGCCTCCTCCTCTCCAGGCTGAGCCCCCCCAGCTCCCTCAGCCTCTCCTCACAGCACTTGTGCTCCAGTCCCTTCCCCAGCCTCGCTGCTCTTCTCTGCCCCTGCTCCAGCCCTTCCAGGGCCTTCCTGAGCTCAGGGCCCAGAGCTGGACACAGCACTCCAGGGGTGGCCTCACCAGCGCCCAGCCCAGGGCCACAAGCCCTGCCCTGCTCCTGCTGCCACACTCTTCCTCAGCCAGCCCAGCAGCCATTGGCCCTCTTGCCCCCCTGGCCACACTCGGGCTCTTCTTCAGCTTCCTGGCCAGCCCAACTCCCAGCTCCCTTCCTGTCTGGCTGCTCTCCAGCCCCTCTGGCCCAGCCTGGAGCTGCAGGGGCTTCTTGTGGCCAAAGGGCAGGACCCGGCCCTTGGCCTTGGGGAACCTCAGCCCCTTGCAATCAGCCCATGGATCCAGCCTGGCCAGGTCCCTCTGCAGAGCCCTCCTGCCTTCCAGCTCATCGACACTCCCCCAGCTTGGGGTCATCTGCACAGTTGGCACCTGGACCCGCATCCCGTTGTCTGTGTGTCTCTGTCCCCAGGGGATGGTTCCACCTCCTTCCCTGTCTCCAGGGGACGGTTCTACCTCCTTCCTGTGGGGCTGGAACAGCTCCAGCTGCCCTCTGAGGTGGGGTTGTGTCCCTGGGGCTTAGTTTTGCAGTGGGAATGTTTTCCCTGTGGGAATGGTGGGGAGGAGGAGAGCTCAGGCTGCTGGGAGTGTCCCTGTTGGGTCACCTCCCAAAACTGGGAATGGGGGAGATGTTTATGTATTTAAATATTTATATAAATGTAAAATACAAATAGAAAAATAAATGGAAAAATATTATTATAAGATATAAAAATAAAAATATAAGTGTAAAAATATAATTTTAAAATATAAAAATGTAAAAATAAATGTAAAAATAAATGTAAAAACATAATTATAAAATATAAAAATAAATGTAAAAATATAATTATAAAATATAAAAACTACAAAAATATAGTTATAAAATATAAACCTATAAAAATATATTTATAAAATATAAAAATAAATGTAAAAACAGAACTAAAATATAAAAATGTAAAAACATAATTCTAAAATATAAAAATATTAAAATAAATGTAAAAATATTATTATAAAATATAAGAATATTAAAATAAATGTGAAAATAGAACTAAAATATAAAAATAAATTTAAATATATAATTCTAAAATATAAAAATATTATTATAAAATATGAAAATATAAAAATAAATGTAAAAATATAGCTATAAAGTATAAAAACAAATGGTAATGTAAAAATAACTAAAATAAAAATGAAAAGTAAAAATATAAAATAAAAAATATTAAAAATATAAAATAAAAATAAAATTAAAATGTAAAAAAAATAAAAAATCTAAAATCTAAAAATAAATATAAGTATCCATTGGGTGGCAGGGAGTGGAAAAACGAGGCCCCTGCTTTCAGCAGCTGCAGGTGCAGGGGTGTTTTCAGCCAGGGGATGAAAATAACTCTCCTTTTAATTGCTCTGCTCCCCCCGTGGTCCCGAGGGAAGCAAAGCCTTTCCTCGCCTGGGCAAAGACGTTTCTATAAACTTGGGAATGGGGAATGTCACCCCCTGGGATGGGCAGGGAAAGGGACTTTCCCCTGGAGCCACCACAGAGACAAATCTCGGGGCTGCTGGACCTTGGTGACACGAGCTCAGAGCTGAGTTTGCCCCTAAACCTCTTCTCAGTTGCTCCCTGATATGACCGAGGTCTAAGATTGGCTGAGCTGAGCTTAACCAAGCTCAGATCTGAGCTTAACCAAGCTCAGGTGCTTCAGGTGGCCCCCACTGAGGTGTCCACGGTTGGGTTTCTAAGCAGGTGGTTTGTCCTTTAATCTGCCTTTTTTTAAACTTCATCATTTGTCTGAAGTTTATAAGAAACCTATAACCTTTTATCACGATTATAGTGATTTATAATCTATGATTTAGAATGGTTTAGAATGATTTATTTATTTATTATTATTTATTACACTTATTTATTTATTATTGTGGTTTAAAATAGTTTATAATGGTTTAGTTATATGATTTATAATGGTTTATTATATATAATAGTATATTAACGATTTATAATCCACCTGTACAAGGCAACAAAGTTTTTCTGGGCCTCTCCAAAACCATCTTGGTGCCTGTTCAGCTCCTCTCTGTGGGTGACAGTTGGTTTGGAGGAGATTCCAAGCCCCAAAAGACGAGGGACCAAAGTCAGTTTGGAGCTGTCAGGTCCCCTCCACGGAGGGACAGGGATGATCCCGGCTTTGCAGGGTCAGGAACTGTGTCCTGATGGTTTTTCCACCAGTGGGAAGGTCCTGGATCAGGGATGAGTTGGACATTCCAGCTGTTGTGCAGTTGCTGTTTTCCCTCTTCCACTTCCAGGGGCAGCCGAGGTCCTGCATGGACTTGGCTTTGCTTTTCCCAGAGATCCCGAGGCTGAGCTGTGGGGACAGGGAGAAAATTCCCAGCCACAGGTTT